AATTACATTCAGCATAAATCACAAGATAAGGAGGCACATGGGTAGAACAAAAACACTAAATTTCAAAAGAGCTAACTTTTTTAAACTACTATAAAGTTATTAATTGGGACCAAATCCTAGAAACATTTTACACTGAGGAAAAATGGGAGTGCTTTAGTAACATATTAAGTAAAGGTATCATCCAGTGTATTCCTATGGGCAATAAATATAAAAGATGGACGGTTAAATTGTAATGTAAAGAGACAAAAATAGATGGAGAAAAAAAGGCCTTTTAAAAAATTACAAGGCAGGTGGGACCTTGTTGGCATTTCAGCACTACAAGGAATACAATAAGTGTAAGAAAGCAATCAGGGCGGCTAAAATAGACTACAATAGATACATAGCGAAGGAGAGTAAAAAAATAAAAAATTCCAAGAACTTTTTAAATATATTAACAGTAAAAAAATGCGGTCAGAGCATATTGGCCCCATAAAGGATAATGAAGGCAAGTTGGTTACAAATGACAAGGAGAAGGCAACTGTACTAAATGCATTCTTCTTTAGTCAAGACTGCATCTTTAGTAACGTACACTATATTGCCAAAAGTATTGGGACACCTGCCTTTACATGCACTTTAATGGCATCTCAGTCTTAGTCCATAGGGCTCCATATTGAGTTAGCCCAGTGTTTCTCAACTCCAGTCCTCATGGACCCCCAACAGGTCATGTTTTCAGGATTTCCCTCAGATGAAACAGCTGTGGTAATTACTAAGGCAGTGAAACTGATCAAATCACCTGTGCAAAATAATGGAAATCCTGAAAACATGACCTGTTGGGGGTCCATGAGGACTGGAGTTGAGAAACACTGAGTTAGCCCAACCTTTGCAGCTATAACAGCTTCAACTATTCTGGGAAGGCTGTCCACAAGGTTTAGGAGTGTGTGTATGGGAATGTCTGACCATTCTTCCAGAAGCGCATTTGTGAGGTCAGACACTGATGTCGGACGAGAAGGCCTGGCTCACAGTCTTCGTGCTAATTCATCCCAAAGGTGTTCAATCCGGTTGAGGTCAGGACTCTGTGCAGGCCAGTCAAGTTCCCCCACGTCTTTATGGACCCTGCTTTGTGCACTGGTGTGCAGTCATGTTGGAACAGGAAGGGACAATCTCCAAACTGTTCCCACAAAGTTGGGAGCATGAAATTGTCCAAAATGCCTTGGTATGTGGATACCTTAAGAGTTCCATTCACTGGAACTGAGGGGCCAAGTCGAAGCCCAACCCCTGAAAAATAACACCACACCATAATCCCACCTCCATCAAACTTTACACTTGGCACAATGCAGTCAGGCAAGTAACTTTCTCCTGGCAACCACCAAAAACCCAGACATGTCCATTGGATTGCCAGAAAGAGACGCGTGATACATGCTAGGGGGAGAACCCTTGGGTGGAATCCAAGATGAAAAAAGATCTGGGAGTCCTAGTAGATGACAGACTCCGCAATGGCATGCAATGCCAAACTGCAGCAAGCAAAGCCAGCAGAATATTAGCATGCATAAAAAAGGGAATCTACTCAAGAGATAAAACCTTTATCCTTATAAAACTTTGGTTTGGCCACACTTGGAGTATGCCATCTGGTTCTGGTCACCAGTCCTCAGGAAATATGTGCTAGAACTGGAGAAAATGCAGAGATGGGCAACAAAACTAATAAGGGGACTGGAAGACTTCAGTTGCGCAGAACGACTACAAGCACAAAGCTTATTCTCCCTGGAGAAGAGATGTTTAAGAGGAGTTATGATAGCGATATAAATTTCAGAATAATGATTGTAGCATAGGGAATAAACTATTCAGTTGCAGGGAGTATAAGAAAACACGTGGCCACTTACTGAAATTAGAGAAGTGGTTTAACCTTAAACTGTGTAGAGGGTTCTTCACTATCACGGCTGTAAGAATGTGGAACTGCCTTCCACAATCGGTGGTGTTAAAGTCTAGTATAGATAGTTTGAAAAAAAAAAAAAAAAAACACACACACACACCCACACAGGTTGAACTGGATGGACTGGTGCCCTTATTCAACCTTACAACTATGTAACTACGCTTGTGCAGACCAGACTGGAGAAAGGACATGATGTGTCCCACATATCACTTCCTAGGATGGAAATTCCTAGCTTCAACCCAAGTAGAATATCCCCTCCAGGTGTTATGCTAGACTTTGCGAGAAGTTGATTTCCTAGCCTTCAGGAAGGTAGGGAAGACCAAACCAGCTAAGCCCCTGTGCCCAGGTCAGGCTTCAACAGCCATGTCGTTAAAGCTAATGACTGAGAAGCAGGATGGTGGCCCTACACTTGGGAAAGAAGGTCTGTACTATCCGGAAGGGCCCACATAAAGTCCGCTAGGGATTTAAGTATGTCCAGGTATAGTGTCCTCCTGGGCTAGTGTGGTGCAATCAGACTAACTGGAAAGCCCTACGTCTCAATGCTGCAAAGGAAAATCTGGAGGGGCAGTATAGCATGGTTGAACTGATCCCAGTCACCAGATCATCCACTTTACAAAGTCTCTGGACCTGACATCAAATCTGTCAGGATTTTTTTTCAATCTGGATGCCACCAGATGATCCAAATCCAATGCTCCCTACTTGTTGCAAAGGAGTTGGAACACCTCTGGGTGGAGAGCTTATTCCCCTGAATCCAAACAGTTGGCTGAGAAATTTCACTCACCAAATTTCCACGATTGGGAGTGTGAAGAGGATCAAATCTACTTCCCTTTGAATGGCAAATCTTCTGGTGCCTCCTTGACGCTTGGCTAGGCCACTGCCATGGCATTTTCTGAATGAATTCTCATCAAGTGGCCACTCATTGTCCCAAAACTAGGCAAATACTGTCTTGAAGGATATAGGAAAATAGTGGCAAGCAAGCGCCTGATTAAACAAAAGCAGCTGGCATTCAGGATGAACCTCTGTATCCCCAAAATGGCTTAATGAATAAATAATGCAGCGCTAGAAGATCTTAAAGTGACAAATGCATATATCGTGAAGCGCAAAGTGGCACTAAAGTGATCGCAACATAAATAAAGTGTACCGTCGTATATGGACATAAAAAATGTGACTTTGATAACATTAGTGACACTGGTGTGTCATTCCTGCAAGTAATAACAATGAAAATATATAGAATCAATATAAATATGGAGATATATAAATCAGTCCAATATCTTTCATGAAATCCGTGCATGTGACTTCCGTGATTTGTAGTGTGACTGCACTCACCAGAAGCGCAATAATATTGCGCATGTATATAATTTATCCTCGGTGGTCATCTGGGTTCAGGTAAGGAAAAGGAATCATCTAGCACACGAACAGCATACAAGGAATAACTACAGACCTCAGTCACAGGACCCTCTGTACACAGGAACAGCTCCATATTACTTCTCAACCACAGGATAAAATAGCCAAAAAGAGGATGTTCTCCACCTTAAATGGCTCACAAACACAAGCCACAAAACGAAAAGTGCTGATAGTGTAGTATTTTTATTCTTAAAGCAAAAAGAAAGTATCCAAAACAGCTTTCAGCACACTTACAGGGACAAAGATGGACGCCGGCCTTCCATGTGGCCTCTGCAGCATGACGTCAATACGGCAAGGCTCCTCCCTGATGTGTTTCGTGCGCATGCACGCTGTCAAAAGGGATCTGCGCCTTATATAGCCCCGTGTGCATGTGCGTACGAGCGCCATTTTAGCCTCGAGCTCGTGCGCGAAACGGATGCAATTTTCTAGACGATCGGCATCTCACACTGATGATTGTGGAGACCGAGTCTTCACTGTATCATCCAGGAATGGATTAAAAAAGCTCTATTATAGCAATGAATGGGCCACAAACTATTGTCTATATAAAAGTAATTATGGAAAGTAATCTTCACCAAAAAAAAAAAAAAAAGTTTAGATGACAGTAGTCCATTCAGTCACTGGCCGCCATTTTGTCATGGTCCAGAGGGACTACAACTGTCAGCAAGATTTATTCATACTGCCTTGGAGGTTACCATTAGGCTCAAAACCCTCATTAAAGCAAACATTGACTAATATTATTGTTTAAAAATGATTTGCATAATCTGAGCCTATGGTCAAATTGTGCACAGTACAGCCAAATGTAAGATACAAAAATGTTTAGATATACATTTTACCTTCAGTGGACCTCTAACATGATCATCCTGTACTTCCACAGCTGTTGCATCCCTTCGGAAGGTTACCTGAAACATATAAATGTAATAATACAGCAGTGGTGTATCATTTTACAAAATCTTAGACTAAACCGCTTCAACTTAAGCTTTTTTCAAATAAAAAGCCTTTTTTTCTAGTTTTTTTTAAGACTAATTTGCATAACTAATTGCAACTAAACATACATAGATCATGAACCTTACATAAAGTCTTCCTGATGATCAGTCCTCAAATATTACAGCTTTCATATGATATACCGTACTTTAATACTATTCTGTGCAAATTGGATAATCTGCAATTGAACTACCAAGTGCAGCCTCTATTTGTGAGGCTGCAAAAACAAAAGGATATAGGCAACATTTTACTGATTGCAGGTTTTTTATGTATGATACACTGGCTTCTTAACCACTTGCCTACCAGGCACTTATACCCCCTTATTTACCAGGCCAATTTTCAGCTTTCAGCGCTGCCGCACTTTGATTGACAATTGCGCAGTCATGCAACATTGTACCCATATGAAATTTTGATCATTTTTTTCTCACAAATAGAGCTTTCTTTTGGTGGTATTTAATCGCCACTGGGCGCTTTACTTTTTGCGCTATAAATTTAAAAAGTACAAAAAATTTGAAAAAAAAAAAAGTTTCTTTGTTTCTATTATAAAATTTTTCAAACAGGTATTTTTTCTCCTTCACTGATGTGCGTTGATGAGGCAGCACTGATGGGCACTGATAGGCGGCACTGATGGGCACGGATAGGCAGCACTAAAGGGCACTGATAGGCAGTACTAATGAGGTGGCACGGATAGGCGGCACTGATAGGTGACACTGACACTGCACTGACTGGCATCACTGCTGGGCATGACACTGCTGGGCACTGTGGCGGCACTGACTGGCACAACCCCTGGGCACTGACTGGTGGCACTGACTGGCAGCACTGGTGGGTGGGCACAGGTGGGTGGCACAGGTGGGTGGCACTGGTGGGCACAGGTGGGTGGCACTGGTGGGTGGGCACAGGTGGGTGGGCACAGGTGGGCACAGGTGTGTGACACTGCAGAGTGGCACAGGTGGGTGCACTGCTGGGCACAGGTGGGTGCACTGCTGGGCACAGGTGGGCGGAGCTAGTGGGCGCACTGCTGGGCACAGGTGGGCGGAACTTGCGGGTGGCATTGCTGGGCACCGATCATCAGGGCACTGATCATCAGTGCCCTGATGATCGGTGCCGATCCCCGCTCTGACAACTGCCGGTTCTCGGCAGTACTTTCCTCACGATCTGACAGCGTGAGGAAAGTGCAGCCGAGAACCGGCACTTGCATTTCCCTGTGATCAGCGTGTCATTGGACGCCGCTGATCACGTGGTAAAAGGCAGGTATGATTGGCCTTTTACCACATCATGTGATCAGCTGTGTCCGTAGGACACAGCGATCACGGAGATCGCTGGGTGCGCGCCCCCTGGGGCGCGCAGGAGAGAGCGCGTTCTGGTAGGACGTCATATGACGTCCACTCAGAACTGGCAGGCCGCAGTTTAGCCGTCATTCGGCTATCTGCGGTCGGCAACTAGTTAAGCAAAAAAAATCTGTAAAATGTGCACTATGATATAGCTGCTTTCTGTTTGTCCTGTTGGTCTTCAGGACAAATACATCTGATGTTGAGAAAGATAACAGTAAGCAATGTAACATACTAAATACAGGTCTGAAAGTTGGCTTTCATTTGGGATGCAAGTTAAACAGCAGCATTGCAGTAGTAGGATATTTCCCCTACCCATCATAACCACCAGAGAAATGACTTGTAAAGACAAAAACTTTTTAAGATCAGATAGACAAGATTGTTAGGGTGTCGATGACACAGCAGTCCTAAAGCCTTGTACACACGATCAGAAAATTGAAAAGCTTCAAAGTGATCGTACGATAATCTGCTCGTTAGTACAAAGCTTTAGAGAACCAATCATAACAGTTCATCCCAAATTATCCAAAGGGACAACCATGAAAATTTTTCTCATATGATACCAGATCATATGATTCTTGACAATACAGTTTTCGTCCAAAAATACAATTTAATTACAATACAGTACATCACTTCCAAAATTCTATTTGGTCGTATGAAAATTTTTGTTAGTTGAGTAACCTCTTCGATTTCGATATGGAGATTAGCATAAAAAAATGGACGATCATTCATCTGATATTTTCATCTTCTGTACAAGGCTTTAACCGCTTTCCCGCTGCCCTATAGCAGATATACTGCTACAGGGCGACAGGGGTGAGCAAAATCACATGTGTGATTTTGCATGTCTGGGTAGGGAGTGAGCCACACGCACCCTACCTGTGCTGCTATTTGCGGCTTCGGCTGTCAATTCCTGCCCAGTGCCATTAGTACAGTGCATTTTTAACATTTAATCACTGTATTGGTGTCACTGGGAATGCCAGTGACACCAAGTCAGTTCCCCCTCCAGTGTCAGAATGCTCGCCGCAGTCCTGCTATAGGTCGCTGATCGCCACCATTACAAGTAAAAAATTACAAAAATTTTAAAAATACTAGTATATATACACACCGCCATTTGTAAACGCTATAACTTTAATGTAAACCAATTAATTTACACTAATTGGGATTGTTTTTTTTCAACAAAGACATTTAACAGAATACATTTTGGCCTAAATTTATGACAAAATTAGATTTGTTTATTCTTTTACTGGACATGTTTAATAGCAAAAAGTCAAAAATATTGTTTTTTTTCCTCAAACTTGTCGGTCTTTTTTCTTGTATAGCGCAAAAAAAAAAAATGCACAGACGATCAAATACCACCGAAAGAAAGCTCTATTTGTGGGGATAAAAAGGCTGTACATATTATTTTGGTGCAGCGTTGCATGACCGTGCAATTGTCAGTAAAAGTAACAGTGCCGTAACTCAAAAAATGGGCTGGTCAGGAAGGGGGATAAATCCTCTGGAGGGCAAGTGGTTAAACAAAAAATTTGACCAATTCTCAAGGTCAGAGAACATTGAAAGAAGAAAAAAAAAAAAAAATGGAGAAAATTCTCCATGGTAAAAGAATGTAGACACACATGCTAGATACCACAGCTATTTTAAAAGCGTTATAGTATATTAATTGCATAAAAGAGTGGCATTGTTTATCACATTTTGTCAACTACGATTCTTCTAGATGTTGCTTGGGGTTCCTTGAGCAATGAGAAATTTCTGCCTCTCAGATACGTTCTTGCCGACACCATTAATCTTTTTAGCCATCTGTAAGGGGTTAATTCTTCCCAATGACCCCAACTGTAAGAAGCATTCTTCCCACTGATTTTCACACTAATATCACCAATAACAAAATTTCTACTGACGGAGACCACTTGGACCTTTGTCACTTGGAGATTGTTTCTGGGGTTTAACTGCACAAAATACTTAGGATATTTGGCCTACTTTTGTGACACAATTTTCTGCTGAATATGAACAAGTAACAGATATTATAAGAAAACATCTGACAATTCTCGTTGCTGACAAGAATTTACAGTATATTCCATTCTAAGAGGAGGTTGTAGATTTTCGAGCAGACAAGCACCCACTTTGGGTAGTTGGTTGTCCACAGTCTTTTTTCTTCCAATTGTGGTGGCAAAAATTAGCTTTCAACAGTTGGTTCAGATCAGTGTGGACTTAAATGCTGCAGAAAGCACAGGAAATGCACTAGCATACAGTCATGTTCCACAGGTGCCCCCAACTCCCCCAAGGAAAAAAAAAAAAAAAAAAAAAACCTCTCTAGCACTACACACTAAACTGAACATGTGCAGAATTGCTATGGGTTCAATCTGTCTTATCAGGAGATAAGACATGGACATTTGAACAAGGAGGGACAGAGAAGACTGGACCAAACGCCCTTTTTACACAATGCAGTTGTGGGTTTAGTAACAGTTTAAGGCTCCATGCACACTGGCTTAAACAATGGCTGCTTCTACAGGAGTTTTGTGTTTTGCGTGTAGAAGCTGCTCAATGTTATCCTATGTGTCCATGCACATTAGGTTGATTAGAGTCATATTTTAAGCTCAACATTTAGAGGCAGGAAAAAAAAAAAAACTTTTCTGGTTTTTGTTTTTTGATTGGAGCTTTCTGGCAGAAAAAATGTTTAACTTCTTCTAAACTGTGTACAAACCCTCTATATCAGCATTTTTTTCTGCCAAGGAAACTGGCGGGTTTTTTTTTTGTTTGTTTTCATTTAAGCCCAGTGTGCATGGAGCCTTAGATGATCCCATGGTGGTAAACAAAGTTCTTTTTTATTTTATGGTGTAGAGAGAATAATCAGAACACCTAGAGGGGGAGCTATACATCAAAAATTGCTGGCGTACGAAGCTAGGTAGATTTTTTTTTAACCATTTCAATACCGGGCAATTTTACACCTTCCTGCCCAGGCCATTTTTCACGTTTCAGCGCTCTCACACTTTGAATGACAATTGCGCGGGTCATACAACATTGTACCCAAACTAAAATTTTATAATTTTCTTCACACAACTAGAGCTTTCTTTTGGTGGTATTTAATCACCGCTGGGGTTTTTATTTTTTGCTAAACAAAAAAAGACCAAAAATTTTGAAAAAAAAAACAAAACACGTTTTTCTTTGTTTCTGTTATAAAAGTTTACAAATATATAATTGTTCTTCATAAATTTAGGCCGAGATGTAATCTACTACATGTCTTTGGTGAAAATAACCCAAATTAGGATGTATTATTTAGTTTGTAGGAAAGGTATAGAGTTCACAAACTATGGTATAGATCTGAAAATTGATCAATCCTGAAGTACTGACAGCCAATCTAATTTCTTGAGGTCCAAGAATGTCAGAACAGTACAGATATCCCCTAAATGACTCCTTTTTGCAGAGTAGACAGTCGGACGTACTTCATAAGAGGAATGGCGAGTTTTTTGAAGTTTTATTTTTTTTTGTCATAATTTTTCGGAAAATGAAAAAAAAATTAAAAAAATTATTCTCTATTTTTTTTTTACATACTGTCACCAGTGCAGTACAGCATCATCATATAACTGGCATGGCGGTGATCAGGGACACTGACTGGTGACAGTATGAAAAAAATATATATATATTTTTTTTTTCTATTTTTAATTTTTTATTAAATTTTTTTTTATTTTTTTCAAGATTTTTTTTTCATAGTTTACTATGACCAAAGTAGTACAATGTTACCATAGTAACATTGTACTACTTTGGGGAAGTGACCTTTTTTTTTTTTTTTTTTTTTTTTTTTTTACACAATTTGCTTATAGCAAAGAATTACTTTGCTATAAGCAAGCATTTACCTGAATGAAATCGATTCATGACATGTGCATGTGACCTGCTGTGACCATTCACAGCTAGGCACTAGTATACAATGGATGGCATGAATGAAGCCATCCATTGTATACAACTGTCATGTGACCTGTTGTGATTGGTCACAGCAGGTCACATGGTACCGGCAACGGGAGCTGGTACTCAGATATGTCATCGGCCGTGTCTGATGTACACGGCCGGGGACAGATCGTGCCGCTGCGCGGCTCTGCAACCGCGCGAACTGCGCATGTGCGGGAGCACGCCAAATGGCGTGCACCTGGAAAGCTAAAGCGCTTTTGATGCCGCCAAACGGCTATAGGCTGGGCGGCTAATGGTTAACTAAAACAACAATACTGAAAGGTCTAAATCACAGATGGGATATAGGCTTATTTTTTAAAAAATATAATAAATATGTTTCCATTCTGTAAAAAATGGTTGACAAAAAGAATATGAATACAATAACCAGTTTTTACAATATTTGAAGCAGAGGGCGACACCATTATTGAAAGAGTATACAACTCCATTTATATATTCCCATTCTGGTAGGAACCGCTTGTTCAGTTTTTGTGATATAGCATATAAAGGGTGACACCATAATTCAGACAGCGCAGCAACTTTTCAGTTAAATAGAATTTAGCAGTCTTTGTGATATATCACAGAGGGTGACACCATTTTTTCATTTAAATCGAGATAGCAAAGCAATTTTTCCGCTTAAATAAAATATAACAAATATACCTCCGCTCTGTAAAAAATTGTTGACAAAGAAAGAATTTTAAACACAGTTTTTGTGATATACAACACAGAGTATTGGAACATTGGAATAGCACAGCAATCTTTTATTGAAATATTTCCATTCTGTTCAGAAATGCTTGTTTTTCCAGATTTTGTGATTGATGATAAATCAGGCAGAGGGCGACACATTTCATTAAAATAGAATATAACCATTTTTTCTCTATATGGCTATATTTTAATCACTTTAACTATGCCTTATAGCAGGATTATGACAACAGGGCGGACT